CGATCAACTGATTTGTGTGCCTGTGATGCAGTGTATCAGTCCTTCAACGGCACAGGTGAGAGTGGCGGTTGGCAAGGGGCGGGTGGGACCCTTGCCAGTTGGGACCGACGGTGGCGCGGTGCAGGAGGCAGGGCCAGCCGGCACCTCCCTTGCCTGTGCACACAGCGCGCAGCAGCTGTGCATGGTGTGGGCTGTGGTGCGGCTCCTGCCTGCTGGCCCCGGGTTGCTCCCCGGCGTGTGCCCCCGCCAGCGCCCCCAACCGCAGGATGACCCACCTTGCCAGCGCCCCGCGCGCCTCCCCGTGTGCCTCTGCGGCCGCCCTGCCGCCGCCTGCTGCAGCCGACAGCGTGCAGAAAGGAGCCAAGAAGCTGGGCTCCAAGCTGGGGCTGAAGCGCGGCAGCAAGGACAAGGAGGCGAGGCGGGCGGCGCTGGGCGGCTCAGACACCTCCTCCCCGCTGCCCTCACCCTTAGAGTGACGCGGCGGCAGCCGCAGGCAGCGGGCCGGAGAGCGGCAGCGACCAGGCGCAGCAGGCAAACCTGCTGGAGGCGCGACGGCAGGCAGCACGTCTCGGCAGGCAGCCCCGCCAGGCTAGGGTAGTAGGTAGTTTGGAGGTGCAAAGGAGCGAGAGCGGCGTGCTGAGTTACATCATTACAAGACATCGAGTTCCGTTTGATTTGTGTTAGGCCTTTAAGCTCCAGTTCAAGATCTGAGCCCCAACAACAGAGCAGGAGCATCGAGCGGCTGGTACTGCCGCAGCATTGAGCCGCAGCATTGAGCGGGTTGAGCACGTCGGCAGGTGCTTCGGCGCCTCCGGGAGCGGCACCCTATTGCTGCTGCAATTGAGTTTAATGTGTCAATGTCAGTCAATAATTATAGCTCGGCCACCGAAGCAAGGCCTCGTCATAGCTCTGGCACCCATCTGTCGGCCGTGCCTGCCCGCCACACGGCGCGACACAGGCGCGCCCCGCCCCAGGGCTGAGCCGGTCGCATACTACGCAGTGCAGTACGCCCAACAGCAGCAAGTCCCTTCGTCCGCACACAAGTGCGCATGAAGAGCCGCATGGAAGTCCAACCCAGTAACACGCCCGTCGCTTTCCGCCGCAGCAGCAGCCGCTGCCCCTGGCAGCTGGCAGCTGCCTGCACGCTGCCTTGTGCTTGCGCCAGGCACCGCGGCTGAACGCCTCAGGGCAGCAGCACACATGGTTGCAAGCGGCGCACTTTTGTGAAGCCGCTCGCTGGCGCCGCTGCGTTGATGCATGCCACGCCGGCACACCGAAGCCTGGCCAACGCATGTGCCGCCTCCAGCTGCTCTGCGCTGCTGCACCGCGGTGGCGCACCTTTAACAACCTGCACACAAGCTGAGGAAGGCCGTGTGGCACACCAGCTGTGTGTGTTCAAAGCAGCTGGCAGTCCTGGAAGAGGGTGCTTCGCCTGCTGGGATCTGAGCGCTGTCAAGACCGCCCCTCCTGCCCCACACTGTCCACATGATCTCAAAGACTGACAGCTTTGCACACGCTACATGTGAGTCAAAGAAAAAAAGAAAAAAAGCAGGCACCCCAGAAAGCTCACTCAGCGCACCCCGCAGCCAGGATGAGCCCAACAATGGGCGGCGGCAGCGAGGTGCCCAGTTCCTTCTGGGCGCGGTGTAGCGCCAGCGCCGCAGTGCGCAGCCGCTGCACATATGGAGGTGGCAAGTGGCGCACCAGCTGGCGCGCCTGCTCAGGCGAGTGCGCCAAAGCAGCCGGCAGTACTCCGCACAGGCCGGGGCAGGGGGCTGGCACCAGCGCCCAATCCTGCCCAGACAGCGGCAGGCGGGCGATGACAAAGTCGGCATAGAGCGGCAGGGCGGCGGGGCCAGCAGCAGCCAGTGATGAGAGTATGGGCAGGGCTGGGCCTGCTGCCAAGAGGCAGCGCGCCGCATCCAGGCTTTGGAATTCGTTGTCCAGCAAATCATCATCGCTGTCACCAACGTCAGTCAGATTTGATAAGGCCAGCTGCAGCGGCGTCATGCCTGATGCGTCAACAGCCAGCGCTGCTCCGTGTGCTGCGGCCAGGAGCACTTTGCATGCCGCAGGGTGGGCTTCGGCTGCTGCCCAGTGGAGTGGAAGCCTGCTGTCGCTGTCCGCCGCTGTGGCTGTGGCTGGCGCAGCTGCCAGGAGCAGCTTGCATGCCGCGGCATGCCCCTCAAGGGCAGCCCAGTGGAGTGGAAGCCTGCCTCCAAAGTCAGCGTCGGTCACTGCGCCAGGCGCTGCTGCCACCAGCAGCTCGCAGGCTGCGGTGTGGCCTGCACGTGAAGCCAAGTGGAATGGAAGCCAGCCGTTACTGTCAACTGCTGTGGCCGTGCCTGGCGCCGCTGCCAGCAGCACCTCGCATGTTGCGCTGTGACCAAACATTGCTGCCAAGTGGAGTGGGAGCCTGCCGAAATTGTCAGCTGCTGTGGCCATGACTGGCGCCGCCGCTAGCAGCACCTCGCATGTTGCAATATGGCCTCCTTCTGCAGCACAGTGCAGCGGAAGCCTGCCGGCATCGTCAGCTGCTGTGGCCGTGGCCGGTGCCACTGCCAGCAGCAGCTCGCATGCCGCTGTGTGTCCCCTGGAAGCTGCCATGTGGAGTGGAAGCTTGCCGGCACTGTCTGCAGCCGTGGCCGCGGCATTGGCTGCTGCCGTGGCCGTGGGTGGGGCTGCAGTCAGCAGCATGCTGATGGCTGCGGTGTGTCCCGCCATGGCTGCGATATGCAGCGGAATGCGGCCCTTGCTGTCCAACGCTGTGCCTAACCCCGGATCTGTCACTAGGAGCAGCTGGATCGCTGGTGTGTGGCCCAGGAAGGCCGCCGCATGGAGCAGCGTCAGCGAGTCTGCCCAATCGTAAACTGAATCTCAGGGGAAGCATGGCAACGCGTGTGCGCACTGGCCAGGGCACTGCTGCATTGCAACAAGCAGGCGCCACGGTGCTCACCTTCAGGCGGGTTCAGCTGGAATGATGCACAGGCCTGCAGCTGCTGCACCACCTGGCAGAAGCTTGTGGAGCCCAGCTCGTGGTTTTCGATAGCACCCGGTTGAAACCTGCAACGCACACAGTAGATCAAGTGGGTGGTTCCAGGTTACTGAGGGTGCTGCATGTGGCGGTGCCGCTGACAAGAGGGTGAGCAGCCACTGTAGAGGCCCATCCTGACTTGCTCACCTGAGAGCAGCCCACGGCGGCGGCTGTCGCTGGCTGTACAGCTCGAGTGATTCAAAGCCCATCTGGCCATCAAGGGCCTCCTTCACTGCATGGTAGCACGGAGCAGGGCTGCTTGGAGCCGACCCAGCAGCCTCCTGTGCCGCTGCTTGCTTATCACACTGAGCGCAGGGCAAACACCCTGCCAACCCAGCCCAGCGCTCACTCACATGCCAGCACATCACACACCAGGCGAGCGGCCTCGGATGATAACAGGCCTTCCACCTCGTGCTGCTCGCCATTGTGCGGAAACAGGACCTGAGGCAAAGTGGGACGCGGCGGGCGGGCGGCGACGGTGAGAGGCGGGCGGCGCTGCCCCACCAAGGCGGCCCGGGTAGCCCGGCGGCCATCACCCACCTTGAACGTGCCTCCCCTGACGGCTTCGATGGCGCCCTTGGGCCCCGCGCTGCCGCCCGCGGGCATGTTTGCCTGGGCGAACGCTAGCCAAACGGTGTAGAGCCTGCCCCTGGCAGTGGACAGTGCGTGCTAGATGGCGCTGGTGCAGACGAAAGCAGTGGAGATCGGGGCAGGGCTGGCCCCCATCATGAGGCGCCGCCGCTGCGCGCGACGAGCCACCTGCTGGCGGCCTCATGTGCTCCCTGGACTTCCTGCCCGATGTTCCTGCCTCGGCGTGGCGTTCTTCTGCTCCGCTCCCTCTGCTGGGAGTCGTCTGGAGCGTGCAGCGTGCCCCTTCTCCTGAGAGAGAGAGAGAGAGAGAGAGAGAGAGAGAGAGAGAGTGCCCCTCCCTCCCGCGACTGATCGCCACCTCCACCCGCACAGCATGCCCGCCCAGGGCGCCTCCCAGGCCAGCCTGGCCGCTCAGGCGACCGCCGAGGGCAGTCTGCTGGCCGCCGCGCTGGCCAAGGTGCGTGCGCTGCCCGAGGCGGAGCGCCCCGCCGACGCCGACGCCTGGCTGCGGTGCGAGGAGCTGCAGGATGACTTCAAGCGCCTGCTGGCCGGCTGGCGCGGCTGGCCCGAAGACGGACGGTGCGAGGGCAGCGTCAGGGCGCTGTGCACGCTGTTTGCAGCCGTGGATGCGGCGCCGGCGGGGCTGGAGGTAGGTGGCAGGGTGGGAGGCAGGGCTTTGCTGCCGTGCATGGCTTCGCTCGCCTGCCGCCTGCACCCACTTGTTCTCCCCAAGCCCTCTGTCTCCTGCTGCCTGCAGGGTTTTTCCCCCGCCCAGGACCGCGACCGCTGGGACACGCGGCTGCTGGGCCCCGCTCTGCTGCCCTGCCCGGGCGGCGGGCGCAAGCGGCGGCGCAACGCCCAGCTGCACAGGCAGATTTGGGGCGCCGACCACATTCGGGACGCCGGCAGCAACGTTGACGGCGCACGCCCTCAGCCCGACGACTTGCTCAAGTGGATTGGCTACGGTGGGTGGTGGCTGCGCTGCTGGCTTGAGCTGGTGGCAGCCGCCTGCCCGCAACTGCCTCTGTGCTTGCCTCGCCCATCCCCTGCCTACCCATCTCCCCGCCCGCCTGCCTGCCTGCCTGCCTGCCTGCCTGCCTGCAGCCTACTATTGGTCCTTTGGGTCCAAGGCGCCGCTGGGTGGCAGGTTGGAGTATGAGGTCACGGTGCAGAGCTACGTGCTCATGTCCCAGTGCGGCCTCGCCCTCAAACAACACCCAGCAGGCGGTGGCGGCGCGGCTGCAGGAGCTGGGCAGCCCGCTGACGAGCGGGGCAGGCCTGCGCCGCCTGGCTGGGCTGCACATCGCCTGCGCTGTGGCGCCTGCTCTGTGTGTAAGGAGCGTGCCTGGCAGGCTCCCAGGCAGCGCCAGCCCTGCTGCCGCCGACGGAGTGGTGGGTGAGACGGAGCAAGAGTGCCCAGGGCTGCTCGTCCTCTGGCCGGCCTGCAGGCGGTCGGTTGCAGGAGACTCTGCAGTGGCCACGCCATGCCCAGGCGACCAATAGGGCTGCACAGCGAGCCTGCGGCCTCTGAGCACCTTAGGCGGGGGCGCGCTGGTGCTGGAAAGGCACTCGCAACAATGCATAAACCGATTAAGGACCGATGGAAGCAATCCACGGAACGAAACATGCACGTGAAGGCTTGGAAAACCCCACCCTGCTGTGTGCTGCGCTAGCGCTCGTCCCCTCGACCGCCTGCGGGCTGAGGCACACCCCACTTAGATCGCCTTCTCCCAGACACACCCAGCCCCGCGGGACACTGCGATCAGCGAGCTGCCAATCGCTGCCCTTGCCAAAGCTTGCCCCCTCCTCCCGACCTCCCGCGGCGCTGTGCCGCCCGGGGGCAGCCATGCGACCATGCACAGCGCTGTCGCTGGCCCTAGTGTGCCTGTGCGCCGCGGGTTTGGCGAGGGCTAGCACCCCAGCCCCCATTCACGCCTGGTCCTCAGGTTCATACCTCACCCCCTCCTCCGATCGCAAGGTGGGGAGCGCCGGGCGCGCTGCCGTGCCCCGCGCCGCTGGCGTCCTTCATAGGGCTCCCGCCCTCGCCGCCGCCCTACCTACCTCGCATTGCCTGCTCCGCCTCCGCAGGCCGTGCCCTCTGTGCAAGCCCTGGAGGAGCTGTTTGCCGGCGTGGCGGGCATGGCGGGCGGCGTCCCGGCCGCGCTGGCCGGCCTGCTGGACCCTCAGCAGCTTGCCCAGGAGCGGCCGGATGCGGTGGTGGTGGTGGCCAGTCAGGCCGAGGCCTGCTCCCCACAGGTCGCCGCACAGCTGGCCGAGCTGAGCGGCGCCGCCGCCTCGCACCTGCAGCTGCCCCACGCCATGCACGAGGTGCGCGAGCTGGCGGCGGGGCCGTGGGTGCCGTGTGGGCACAGCGGCGGCCTGCCGTCGCGGCCCCGCTGAGCGCGGCCCCTGTGGTGCCGCTCGCACGCTCTCGCGTACCGCAGGCGCACTGCGCGCTGCCCCGCTGCTGCCGCGGCAGCAGCTGCAGCCGGCCGTAAGCTCAGCTGCCCTCCTGCCCTCTGCCGCTGCCTGGGTCCCCCCCATTGCAGGGCTCAAGCCACCCCGTGTTTGCCGGCCTGCGCCGCTCGGCGCGGCGCATGCGCGTGCGCGTGCTGGGGCGCTGCGGCGCGTCCACAGCCGGCTCCGGCCCCGCCACCCCTGAGGCGCTGCGTGCGGAGCTGGAAAGCGCGGCGGGCGGGGAGCAGCCCACGGTGGTGGTGCTGTGCCCAGAGGAGGCGGCCGAGGCGGAGGCAGGCGGGCGCGACGTCGAGGCGGAGCTGCTGGCCGCCGCCTCCCGCCTTCTGGCTGAGCTGGCGCCCCGGCACCTGCTGGTGCACACCGCCCACGCCGCCTCCGCGGCGGCCTCCCAGGCCCGGCTGGAGCGGCGGCGGCAGCTGCTGGAGGCGCAGGCCGCGGTCGCCTCCTCCTCCTCCGCTGCCAACCGCACCGCCAACTACACCACCTGCGACGCCACCTGCCAGAAGCACGTGCGTGCCCTGCCTGCCGTCGCGCCGCCCCGCCTGGCTTGCCTGCCTGGCGTGGCTGCCTGGCGTGGCTGGCGGGGCGTGGGCCTGCTCCTGGCTGCTTGGCCTGGCTGAGCGGCCTGGCTGAGCGGCCGCGCGGGCGTTTTGCCGTGCCATGCTTGCTTGCCTCCTGCCTCTAGCTTGCCTGCCCGCCCCTCCAGCCCTCCAGCCTCCTCCAGCCCTGCTCCAACCCCCACCAGCCCTCCCCACCCTGGCCCCTCACGCCCCGCCCCTCCCCCATCCCCCTCCCTCTCGTGGCAGGTCATGTGGTTTGAGGGGCTGATTGTGCTGGTGGTGATCCTGCTGGCGCTGTGCGTCGGCTGCTCCTGCATGCACATGGTGGATGTGCCCACCCGCTTCGCGCAGCCCCTGGCCTCGCGCCAGCACAACGACTGAGGCGGGCCGCAAGGGCCAGGCGGGGCGTGGGCCCAGGCCGTGGCTGGCGAGGCGCGGGCCCGCACAGCCTCCGCCGCAGCTGCTCAAGCTGCCAGGCCGAGACCGGCTGCTAGGTGGAGAATGCGTGCGGTGTGGGCTGTACCAATCCATCCAATTGCCCCCTTTCCTTTGCTTGTTTGTTTCAGCTTTGCTCCGGGCAACTGATGCGCCGGCCTAGTGGCATTTCAACCAACATTGTGCAACCGTCCCCGCTGCAACAACGCAACCTAGCACGCAAGCCGCATGCGCAAGAGAGCCTGCCCGGGACGAGGGGAGGGCAGGCTCGGCACGTGGGTGGACACATGTTCGCTAGCGGCATACATCTCTTCAAGGAGTATGGAGGCAGCGGGCTTTGTCCAGCGCCGCACGCTGCTCCCGCTGCATACTACTTCCTTTCCTCCAGGAAACCTTCCAGGCAGCTTCCCAGCAGGGCGCTGCGAATGCCCCCAGGGGCTGGGCCTCCGCTCCTTCACACAGCGCCCGCGCGCTCCCCAGCCAGAGGCTCATACTCGTACACCGGAGGCGGGTGGGGGGCGGTGGCGCTGCGGCAGCGGAGGAGGGCAGCCCAGCGCAGCCATTTTTTAGGGTTTAGGGTCGCAGGCGGCTCGCAGGCGGCTCGGTGTGGGGCATGGGGACGGGCAAGGAGTGTGTGGCGATGATGCTGCTGGCTGCACACAAAGCTGCGGACGCGGCGGCAGCAGGAGGCAGCGCCCGCCCCCACCTGAGGCCCACGATGGCGGCCAGCAGCACCAGCAGCCAGTGGGCAAACAGGCCGGGCAGCATCCAGCGCGACTGCAGGGCAGGGGAGGGGAGCCGGCACCGAACACCATCAGCCGGGCGTGGCGAGGCGCCAGCGGGGCGCAGCAGCGCAGCAGCTACTGGGGCCCTGGCACCGGGGCCGCCAGGCTGCGGCAGGGGCAGCTCCTCAACCCTCCTGCTGCGCCTCTTCCAGCCACCTCCAAGCGCAGATCTAGACCGGCCGCCCCGGCAGCAGCCTCGGCGCTCGGCTCAAGCCCTACACCCTACACCCCTAAACTCTAAACCCTAATCGCCTGGATGCCGCCGTCCACCAGCAGGCTGCCCAGCTCCAGGATGTGGAACAGCGCCGCCACCAGCAGCCCCACGTTCAGCACCTTGGGCACGGTCTGGGGCAGGCGCCCCGCCAGCGCGCGCTCCTGCGGGCACGGGGGCAAGCGCCCAGGCACAGCGGCATGGGCAGGCGCGCTCACATACACACACACACACGCCCGCACGCTTTGCGAGCGGCTGATTTGTGGGCGGGCGGGCGCCTGGCAAGGGGCACAGCCTGGCTGTGCGGCAAGGGCACGCCCTGCCTGCTGCCAGCGGCCGTGGCAGGCGTTGCGAGGCCGCAACGCAACCAAGCAGGCAGACGTTGCAGCGGCAGTCAAACCAGCCGGGCAGGCAGGGGCCTCCCCAGACCCCCTCCCCCCTCCCCACCTGCAGGGTGTAGGTGATGGCGGGGAAGAGGAAGAAGAGGGCGGCGCCGATCCACTGCCACAGGAAGACGGCGGGCTTGCCGGTGTGGTAGCCAAAGGTCCACTTCAGGGTCAGCCTGGGCAGGGGCAGGGGCAGGGCAGGGAAGGGCGGGGCAAGGCAGGGCTGGGCAGGAGAGTGTGGCAGAGGAGGATGGCAGGAGTGTGCAGACTCAGCAGGGACAGGACCGGGCAGGGCGAGGTATGGCAGGCCAGGGCGAATGACTGCTTAAAAAATGGCAGCTGCAGTGCCACAGTCAGCTGGGCGGGAGCAGGTGAGCAGCAGCGGCGGCAGCCCGGCGGCGGGGCGCACTGCGGCAGCACGACGTAGGCCAGGCCGGCCAGCGTGAAGAGCACGGTGAGCAGGGCGTAGAGGAAGACGGAGACTGCAGGAGGTGTGAGGGGAGGGAGGGGCGGCAGGGGGCACACATCAGCTGCCGCAGAGAGGAGCGGGGTGGCTCGGAGTGGCTGGCGCCAATAGCCTGCCCGGCTGTGGGCGCAGCTGTGCTGGAGAGACATGGGAGCGGCACACGGTCGCCCGGGTGCGTTAGCAGCCTGCTGAGGGCACTGCCAGCCAGCGGGCTAGCTGGCGGCGGCGCCTCGCCCCAGCCGCAGCGCTCACACGTGACGCGGCGCGGCGCGAAGATGTTCCTCAGGCACGCGCTCAGCGACTGCGGGGTGGGATGCGTGGGGCGTGGCAGTGCATACACCGCACCGTCAAGCTTCCAGCAGTGCCATGATCAGCATTTGGCGAGCTCGACGCAGCTGGGCCAGCGAAGACCAGCCGGCAGTGCGCCGCCTGCCCAGCATGCCAGCTGGCGAGCTGCCTTGCCGTGCCGGCTGCCGGCCCCGCCCACCTCCATTTCGAAGATGAAGCCGCCCGAGAGCCCCAGGTGCACCGAGGGGACCAGCATGGTGGGTGCCATGATGAGGGCGCCTGCAGGCGGGTGGCAGTGGCAGGGAGGGGGAGGGGCAAGGGGCAGGGCGAGAGCAGGGTGGTAGACGCAGCGGAAGGACCGGCAGCACAGGCGGCGCGTGCTCTGCGGCATGCCACACGCGCACGATCGGCCCTCAGGGGCCGAGCCGGTTCATGTGCCAGGCCCGCTTGTCCAAACGAGCGGGCTGGGCGATCAGCTGCCGCTGCCGGCGCCGGAGGGCCCGCGGGAGGCGCAGGGGGCAGGCGCTGCCAGCAAGCGTGCCGCCCATGGCTGTGCTTGCAGGGACACCCACCGATGAGGAGGCCCCAGAGGGTGAGCGTCTTGATGAAGGCCACATGTACCAGGTGGAGCACCACCGCCAACACAGCAAACCACAGCAGGCCGTGCTGCGGGCGAGGGCGGGGCGAACGGGAGGGGACAGGTCAGCCAGCTGGTATGGCGTGTGTGGGCAAGCTTGCGGGGGGCAGCAGCGTGGGGGTGGGCGCGGCTGCCTTGCCTGCAGGCGCTGGATTCCGTAGTCGGCCAGCAGGCGGCGGTCGGCGCCGATCTGCGGCGCAGCGGGAGGCGGGGGAGGGAAGGCGGCAGGCGGGCACGTTGTCAGGTGGGGAGCGCAGTGTTGTGCTGAGTGCTGCCTGGCGATGGTGTTGCCCTGCTCCAAGACGCACCCCAGCCTCCCTGCCCTCAGGTTGAACCTGCAGTCCTGCACCACCCTCCCTGGGCGGTTTGCCAGCTGCCCTCAGCCACCCAGCCAGCAGGGCAGCCAGCCAGGCAGGCGGGCACTGGCCAGCCAGCTGGCACAGCCAGTCACACAGGCACAGCTGCAGGCAGGCATGCAGGCAGGCAGCAGGCAGCGCGCCAGGGAACGGCCCCACCTTGAGCGCGTAGCAGGTGATGGAGCCGGTGAAGAGGCAGGCGCCCAGGATGCGCCACAGCTCCTCGTACAGCACGTCTGCGGTGCATGCGGTATGGGCAGGGAGGGCGGCACAGCAGGGGGCGGTACAGCAGGGGGCGGTACAGCAGGGAGTGGTGCAAGGGTGGCGACGACCATTCGGGGCAGTACAGTGCGATGGAGCCGAGCGTCACACGGTGTTCCTGCCCCCAACTGGTGCAAACCGCAGCGGCCACACGCCACCCCTCCCACCGATGAACTCGTGCTTGTGGGGCAGGTGCATGTTGCGGAAGAACAGCTCGGTCACCTGTGGGGCAGGGCAGGCAGGCAGGGAGGGAGGGAGGGCAGGGTCGGCAAGGATGCAGGCGGGCAGGCACACCCGAGATGGCGGCAGGGTGGGCAGGCAGCAGCGCATGATGCGTGCAGGGCGTGGCGGCGGCCCCTACGCCTGTTACCACAGCTGCTGCCGCCGCTGCCTGCTGCCTGCCACCCCCACCAACCTTGTACGGCGCGATGATGAACAGGATGCCCGCCACCAGCTGGAGGGCGGCCAGGATGGAGTACATGGTGGAGGCGCCTGCGGTACAGGTGTGTGGGGGGTGCGGTACAGGTGTGTGTCCACTTCTGTGATTTGTCAGTGTGCGAGTGAGAGTGCGAGTGAGAGGGGGTGTGCATGTGGCAACAGTGTTTGGCGTGGCCGAGTGAGCGAGGAGTGTGGGGACGATGGGAGAGGGCAGCGGGAGCGGGGCAGGGGGCGGGGGAAGCCGGGCGGGCACCGCGGCGCCGGCTGGGGCCGCGGCCGGGCCCACGCGCGCGGGCGGCGCGGGCGGCGGCGCGGCGAGTCGAAGGCCCGCTGCTTCTGTCTCCTGTGCGGGCTCGCCGCCGCCTTCGCCACCTCCAGCACTAAGCGTTGAAGGTTGAACCTCCAGCACAGGCGATGTGTAGGCCACATTATGGCACTCCCTTGAAGCCCACCTGGGATGTGCAGGCCGCCGGCTATGGTGCGCCCCTCATACGCCTCCTCAGACTCTGGGCGTGGCAGGCCGCCCATGCCGGGCCCGCCGCCGCCGCCGCCCACGGCATAGCGCTCCGAGGCGGGCGGGTAGCTGGCTGGGGGTGCTGCGCCAGGGGTGGAGCGGGGCAGCGGCATGTGCAGGCTGGGTGGGGCCAGGGTGGGCGTGCCGGCAGGGGAGCAGAGCGGCGTGGGGTTGACGGGCGGTGAGCAAGGAGGGGGTCGCAGAGAGCGGCCGTGGCCTGCCTGCGACCGGCGCGGGGGGCGGAGCGCCCGCAGGCCGGGGCGGGGCAGGCACGGTCGCCTCTGCCGCCTCTGCCGCCGCCGTGCCTGGGGCGGGGGTGGCCATCTTGAGGCTCGTGGACTGCCCTCCTGCTGGCCTCTGGGCGGCTGGGGAGCGGTCCAAGGCTTGGGGAGCTCGGATTGGCGGGCCGAAGATGCCTATGCTCGCTTTCCAAGGCTTGGGAGCACGCTGGCTGTGGCCCACGCACGCTCGAGCAGCAGAATGGCAGGAGGCAGGGGCGGCGGAGTTTTGCTGGCGGGGAAGCCGGCCCCGTCAGCGGGTGGAAGAAAGCGTGGCAGACATGCCGCTTAAGCTGGGTCAGCTGTAGCAGACCCAATGCGCCTCTGTGTCTTATTGCTCCTGGCAAAGAGGTAGCGTGCCCGCCAGCCGACGTCTCGTCCCAGAGTCTGCGGCCGGTTCTTGCTGCCGGCGGCGCCGCCGCATGGTGCGCACGGCCTTGATTCCGCTGGGCATTAGTTGCGTCAGGTGCATATCCCGGGCAGTAGCTCAGTTCCAGCAGTCTCATAAGCTCGCCGACTGCCTGCTACACTGCCCGGATGCCAAACGTGCGGATGCTGCGCCGGTGGCGGGTGGCGGCTTGCCGCCGCCAGGGGGGTACTGCTGGCGCTGAGGTCCCTACCTCCCACGTAGCTCCCACCTCTGACGTGATACAAGCTCGCCGCTGCCTCTCAGGGTGCAGTTGGCATGAATGGCAGGCCAGGCCTAGATCTGTTCTCCGGGGTGCTGCTTGGAAGCTGCGTCAGTGCACTGCATGCCATGGGCCTCAAACGGGGCGCTCTCTCTTTCGTTTACTCAGTTCTACACGCGTTATTCTGATCTTTGAGTAACTGAGCGCGATCCGCTAGCATGAAGGCCTCCGCCACTGCTCTCGCCGCTCTCGCGGCGGTGCTGCTGGCGCTTGCAGGAGGTGAGTTGTCGCGTGCATGGTGCATCAGAGGCCGAGGAGCACGCAGGGGCGAGCGGGTTGCAGGATAGCCTGTCCATTGGGGTGCTGCACGTCTGCCGCCTCACAGATGCCGCAGCACTGTGGTGCGGCGCCATCCTTGTTTCCTGCCAACCAGCCGGTGCTTGGTGCCCCTGCAGGAGCCACCGCCTTGAATCTCAGCCTGAGGGCCTGCAGCACCGGCCCTGCCTCGCCGTGTGCCACATGCTCGGCGCGTAAACCAGACACGTGAGCCGGGCGGCGGTGGCTGGCGCCAGCTGCTGGCCCAGCTGCTCCTGCCTTGCCGTGGGCCCCTCCGCTGCCGCCCCCTATCCAGACTCCCCTCCCTTGGCCTGCTGCAGGTGCGTCAAGTGCAAGGACGGCTACTACCTGCCCCAGAGGAGCACACTCGGCAAATGCAAGGAGGTAAACGCTCCCAACAGCACCCGCGAAGCAGCCGGTGGCGACCGGCTGCGCCGCCACCTCAGGGGAAAGGCTTCCCCCTCAACCATCCTCCTTCCCGCGCCTCCCACTGCAGTGCCCCGAGTGGTGCACGCTTTGCAACAGTGCGGGATTCTGCCTCGGCTGCGCCGCCGGCCACCGCCTCCGCGGCGACGGCACCTGCGCGCCGGGCCGTGCCACCGGTTGCATGCCCAATGTGGGAGGCTGCGTGTCGTGCTGGGAGGACAAGTGAGTGGCCACAGACCTCTTCTGTCTGTTGCAAGGGAATGCTGCGCGGCTCAGCTTGCTTGCTTGCTTGCTTGTGTGGGCTTAAAGTCTGGTAAAGCAAGAACTAGCTTGCAACATAGACTCCCCGCCGAAACGGGACGGGAACCGGGCGAAAGCAGAGAAAGCAATAAAACAGGGGTGGAGCAAGGCGACATGCAACGCAAGCAGCTGACAGGGCACGCATCGAAACGTGTGTATGACTGGCAAAGTGGCATGGCGCATTGGGGAGAAACGCAACGGTACGGGAGCATGGGCTGGCCAAACGGCAGTGCGGAACGCTAGGTCACTAGAAAAGCAGGGAAAGGCGCACTATGTATGCAATGAGGGCAGCCCCGGCTCGGGGCCGTTGAATAAGCAGTGGGCGGGAGGGGGGAGGCCCCGGTGTGGGCGGGCCCCATCGAGGGGGGATGGGGCGCGCAAGCGGCCAGATGGGGCGGGGCGCGGGCGGCAGTGGAGTCCTGCGGCTGGGTGGGATATAGGGCAATGAGCGTTGAGCAGTG